CCTCCAGTTCTGCAAGCAGGGGTGGCAGGGAAGTGAGTGGATCCATGATGGAGAATAGTAGATCATCTGCAAATGCAGAGACCTTAAACTCCTGTGGGTGGACAGTGAATCCGTGAATGTCGTCGTTGTCTCTTATTCCCTGCAAAAAGGGTTCTAAAGAGAGGATGAAGAGTAAGGGGGAGAGAGGGCACCCCTGTCTCGTGCCGTTGCTAATGTGTACTGGGCTTGATAATTGGCCATTTATTCTCAATTTCGCCGTCGGGGTAGAGTATATGGCTCCCATCCATTTCATCCAATTTGGGCCAAAGCCTAAGGCTTGGAGTGTGGCTGTCAGCATTTTCCAGTCTACTCTATCAAACGCCTTTTCTGCGTCTATGGATAGAAGTAGGCTCTGTCTTTGAGTGACATGGGAGAGGTGTATGAGATTTAATAGTTTAGTTGTATTGTGTTTGGCCTCGCGTTTAGGGACGAAGCCAGATTGGTCTTGGTGTATTAAGGTGTGTAGGATCGGTTGAAGTCGCGTGGCTAGAATTTTCGTGCATATCTTTAGGTCTACATTGATGAGCGATATTGGGCGGTAACTACCGCATTCAGTGGGGTCTTTGCCCGGTTTCGGCAACAGTGTGATGTGTGCTTCTAGTGCCGATGCTGGGAGTGGGAGCGGGTCTGTGAGAGCGTTAAATGCCCTCAGGTATGGTTTCGTCAGAAGTGTGGCAAAGTGTTTATAGTATTTGGCCGTAAGGCCATCAGGGCCTGGGCTTTTGCCCAACGGTGTTGATTTGATCGCACATTTTAATTCGTCCTGGGTAATAGGCATGTCTATGGAGCGGGCTACGTCCGCAGGGATTGTGTTTTTGAGCCTAGAGGAAAGAAAACTTTCTATGTCAGTTGTGGAGGGGGGCGAGTTCCTGAGATTGTACAGTTTGGTGTAAAATTGTTGAAAGGCTTCCATGATATCTGGAAGGGTGTGGGATATTGTGCCTGTTTGTGTCTTGATTTTAGGAATGTATGCATTTTGTCTGGATTGGCGCAGGGCATTGGCAAGCAATTTGCCGCATTTGCCTCCCCTCGCGTAGTAGGAGTGTTTGGTGTTTAAGAGTTTTTTCTTGGCTTGGCGTTGCAGTAATTGTGTCAGTTCTGCGCGTTTGGTTATGAGAGTGTTATACGTCAGGAGGGAGCTATCCCTGGAGTGAGTATGTTCCAGGGTCCTAATTTCCCGTGTGAGTGCATCGATTCTTTGCATCCTCTGTTTTTTAAGGGTAGCCATGATTGCCAGAAATTCTCCCCGTATGACACACTTGTGTGCCTCCCAGGTTATGATGGGGGAAATGGATGGGAGCGTGTTTTCTTGGAAGTAGTTAGCGAGAGCAGTTTCCACTCGCGATGTGATGGCGGGGTCATTGAGTAGGAAATCATTAAGTTTCCAATGAAAAGATGTTAGCGGGAGTGTAGGAATCCGTACGGCAAGAGACAGGGGTGCGTGATCCGACCAGGTGATCGGGCCGTAAGTGCAGGAGGTGGCCAGGTGTAAGTGATCCTGGGGAAGGAATAGCATGTCCAGTCTAGAGTATGTGCCCGAAGCTGTAGAGTAGAAGGAGTAGTCTCTAGTTTGAGGATGCATGGTTCTCCAACAGTCATGTAGCCTAGCCTGATCGAGGAGGTGTGATACCTGCTTTCTTGTAGTGGTCTGGTAGTGTGTGGATTGGGAGGTCGTGTCGAGGGTAGAGTCTAAGGACATGTTTAGGTCACCACCCAGGATTAACATGCCTTCCATGAAGGATTCAATTATGCGGAGGTGTTTCTTAAGAGCCTTACCCTGGTGTCTATTGGGCAGGTATATGTTAGCAAAGGTAAGCATGTTTTGACCTATCTGGCCTTTCACCAGGATCAGTCTGCCCCCATCGTCCGTTTTGTGGTCTTTGTATGTGAAGGGGGTATGTGCGGAAAATAGTATGGCCACCCCCCTGGCCTTGGTATCTCTGTAGTTGCTGAAAAAACCTGTGGGGTATGCCCTGTTTTTGAGAGTAGGGGCTATGCCTTTTTTAAAGTGGGTCTCTTGTATAAAGACCACATCTGCTCTGAGTTTATGCATTTCCGTGAGAGTCATGGATCGCTTCTCAGGGGTATTGAGGCCTTTCACATTGAGGGTGACTATCTTTAGAGTGGCCATCGGGTCTGAGTGTGTGTGTGGCCCTTGCGGAGGGTCCGTCTTGCTCATTGTGGGGTGAAAGGGATGGGGGGGGTTGGGTCAGTTGTGAAATTAGGGGAGTAACAAGGAAGAAGGGAAAAGAAAAAATATACAAATACAGTAAATAACTTATATACAAACAGATATTCAATAATTAAATAGAATTTATAATTATCCCCTTAGGTTGTGGAAAGGCGCAGGTCTAGCCAGTCGCCCGTCGGCAGCCTGAGGGGAGAACCTCTGGTGTCGGACCCAAGGTGGGATTTTGCCACCTGGGTGCGTCTGTGACACCGTGGTGTAGGTCGTGTCAACCTAATACGATAGGAGTTATCAAGTATGCATATGATAGTAGTTAAACAGTGAGGGAGAGAAGCGGGGGTGGTCTTAGGTAGTTGACGTCAACCAAAAGCTCTCTTGGTGGAGCAGAAGGAGAATTGGTTTACAGTCAATCACCGCCAGAACACAATCCGTTAACATTATTTACAACACATCAAACATTCAGGCATGTGTATCAGTAATAGGAGTTAAACATATTAAACTGTGCCAATGTCTATGAGCCTTTTTTTTTTATTTATTTTTTCTCTTTTTTTTTATATATTTTAGCTGACGGTTGTTCTTAACCTGTGTAGTGGGCCAATAGGTGGGATTGGATTACCGTGCTACGGCTGCCCTCTGCCAACCCGGTTACCTGGTCCGCAGAGTGGGGGGTTGATTAGTGCTAGAGAAACCTTGCTGTCTGGCCTGTAACCATGTCCGCATTGGAGGTGATTATCACTGCAAGCCGTTATATACGGTTACTCATTAGTGGGAGATATTAGGCTGGATAGGTCTAAAAGGGGATAGTAGGTGAGGAATTGTTGCTTCCTGCTGTAGTGAGCGCGTTATTGCGATATATAGGCAGCGGGCAGTGAATACAGTCACCTGAGTCCCGGGAGGTGTGCAGGAGGCTGGGAGGAAGCGTGCTCTTCTACAGCCTAGCAGTGTAACGAGAAAGTCCATTTCGGCCAGTTTGTGCGGTCGTCTGAGGCAGGTTTCAGTTAGTAGTTGGTGTCTTTGAGGTTTCAAGAGAGTTGTAGGTTGCTGGTCCCAGGACCTGGTCCGACAGCGGTTCATGCCGTTTGCTCCGGGTTAGAGTCCAATCACTGTTGCATCGGGTCTCGGTTGTCCATTTTCTTTTTCTTGGGTGTTTGTTGCCATCTGGGTCTCTGTGGCAGCTGAGGGAGTAGTGGTGTTTGCAGCGGTCCATACCAGTCTTGGATGTGCGGATCTGTTAAATTGAGAGTCTGGATAAAGAGAGGAATGTCTGCATGGGAGTGGATGGTGTGCTGGGCGCCTTTGTGCGTGACGCTCAGCGCAAGTGGATATCCCCACCTGTATCTTATATTTCTAGCTCTCAATTGATCTGTAATGGGGCGCAAAATCCTTCTCGCTTGTAGTGTCAGCCAGGAGAGATCTGGATAGATTGTGATTGGAGCTTCGTGGAACAGAAGGGGTTGTGAATTTTGTTTCAGCGTGTTCAGTATGTCTTCTCTGCAGGTGTGGTAGTGGAGTCTGCAGATGACGTCTCTGGGTTTGTCTGTCGCTATACCTCTGGGTTTCAACGCTCTGTGTGCTCTGTCTAGGAGAATGTGGCTGTCTCCTGGTTTTCCTAATATAAGGTTGAAGAGTTCATTTAGGGTTGCATAAATATCTTCCTGCTCACATTCTGGGAGACCCCGAATCCGCAAGTTGTTGCGGCGCCCCCTATTGTCCAGATCATCTATAGACCTATGGAGCGTGGATAGGTAAGCATTTTGGTGTTCCACTGTTGCCTGTAGGGAGCTCAATTGTGTTTGTATGGCGTCCCTGTCATCTTCCAGAATGACCACTCGGTCAGAGACCTGGCGGATCTCTGAGCTAAAGGAGTCCATCTTGGCCTGGACTGAGGCTTCCAGCCGGGTCAGCATACCTGCAATATCCTGCTTGGAGGGTAAGTTCCTCAGGATCTCCTTCAGGTCCCCTTCTGTTGGTGGGCCCGAGCTGTATGAGTCCGCCGGGCTGGAGGGGGACCTGCATAAAGGCGGGGAGTCAGCCGCCATGTTGGGGCCTAGCAGGCCGGTATTGCTGTCCGCCCGGTCGCGGAAATACTTGGTGAGTGCTCCCGATTTCCCCGACGGGGTTTTGCTGGGGGCTTGTTGGGACGATGTGGCTCGTTTAGGGTGACCCATCTTTGTTTTGTGCGGCCCGATTAAGTCGGATTGTGTTTGGCGTGGCCGGAGCTAATTCAGATCGCGGCCATTCAGCAGCTCGGTTGGCCCCGCCTCCTGTGTTTTTGTTTTTAGTGGTTGCTATGGAGCTTCTCTCCATAGCAAAAACCTCCCCATGATGCTGCCGGACGGGTGGTCACGTGATGCGGTAATGACGCCGGCGCTACGTGATGACGTCATTTTGACGCACGCATTGACGTCGGCGGAACCCGCGGGAGACCCGGTCTGAGCTGACAGGGAGATGCAATTACTTCGGTGGTGGGTAAGTTGATTGCTAATATGTATGTTGGTATATATGTATGTTTTTACAGTGGTTAACAGACTGAAACGTCGAGTTTTTTGGAAGCTGATTAAAAGTTAAGTTTTACAAGTATACAAGTATACTTTTTCTTGTTGTATACATGGCTCAGTGGCTTGAGCTAGCTTTCTATGCACCCTAATTTTGGAGAATTTTTTGCTCCTGGATGTATATATACCTTTTTTTGAATATTGTGTCTGGTACTTTGGAGAGTACTCGTATATACTTATATATATATTGGATTCAATCTGTTATCCCCATTTCATCTATGGAAGATTTTTTCACATTGGCTGGTGGTTTAGTAGAACAGGCGGAGGTATGGCAATACAGTGAGGAAGATGCAGACAGGATACAGTGGGCATCATCCACATCTGATTTACCTAATACTACGTCCCTGAAGGATATATACTTTGAATTACTGAGACTAAGGAAACGGGAGACTGATCTAGACCTACATGGTCTTTTTTTGTCTGAATATCACCGCAAGTTGCAAATCCCACGGGGTTTTCGTGTCAAGAATATCCCCACTATTGGTAGATTAAAGCCGCAGGTCTGCAAGCGTTGGATTTCAGTTTTGAATAAATGTTCATTGGACCTTATGCTCATCATCATTGAGGATGTCAGAGAGGACCTAACTCAGGTGAGGAGAAGGATCTCTGAATTAGAAACAAGGCAGGCAGTATTACTATCAGCACCGGAATCTGCATCAACTTTATTAAAACTGGAGGATAACATTAAGAATTACAAGACAGACCTTGTTAGGTTTAAAAGAGAAAAACAGGAAAAGGTGACAGCTGATTATAAGGAGCATCGTGTATATAGATGGCTCAGTGGGAAGTCTGATGTACCATACTTCATCAAGAAACGCAGACCTATTCGTAAACCTAGACAGTATACAATAGATAAAACCTCAGGAGAATCCACCTCTGAGTCAGAGCTAGTGCACGATTCATTTCCAGTACGCAAACCTGGTAGCACATCAGGTATTGCACAACCTTTTTTAGAGACGGCATCGGCAGAGGAATTTCCTATACGGACACGCTATCAGTACAGACATGTAACATCAGGCGGAGACACATTACTAGACGTGGCCAAAAGGGGCGCACCTTCTGGGGCAAGAGGGAGGCCACCCCGTCAACAGAGATAGTCCCAATTTTCAATCTATCTTCTAGACCCCTGACATCGGATGAAGTCCAAATACTTAGTAGAGGATTGTCATTTGTCCCTACTTCTGGACCGAATTCCCTGGATTGGGAAGTGGAATTATACAAATTTGGTCGGTCTTTGAGATTGAAGGACTTTTTCAAGACTAAAACTACGGATATTGTCAACCCCATGCAAAAGTTTCAAAATAAAAGTACATTTGATCCCATGCCCAATCAGGCCTCTATTAAATCCTTTCTACGCTCAGTGCATAAAGAGTCCACTGACCATTTAAAGCAGAATAATCCACATCATTCAAATTGTACCAAGAATGATTGGGGTATTATCAAATCATTGGCTGCCGATAAAGAGATTGTAATCAGACCAGCCGACAAGGGGGGCGGCATTGTCATCCAGAACTATTTGGATTACCGCTCTGAAATTTTATCACAATTGTCGGATCATAACACTTATGTCAAATTATCTAAGGACCCTACAGATCAAGTGATCAATCATATTGAGAATTGCTTAACAAGAGGGTTGCATTCTAATTACATTTCTATGGAATTATACCAATATCTTCAATCTTCTACACCTAGAACCCCTGTGATCTATACCTTACCTAAGGTCCACAAAAATATGGATAAACCCCCAGGTCGCCCCATTGTTTCGGCAATTGGGGGCGTCCTGGAACCTTTAGCCAAGTGGCTGGATTTTTTATTTAAAGAATCCATCGAACACCTTTCAACATGTATAAAGGATACTCCGAGCTTTGTGAAGTTACTATCTGAGACTATATTGCCCCCTGGACCAGTGGTCCTATTGACGTGCGATGTGTCAAGTCTATACACTGTGATACCTCATCAAGATGGAATAGATGCAATGAGATCGATACTGTCTCAGTCCAGGTACTACACAGGACCTCCTATAGAGTTTACATTGGAACTCTTGCAGATAGTCCTTTCCCAGAACTACTTTAGGTTCGAGACAAATTGGTATAGACAAATTGCTGGGACATCCATGGGGGCAGCCATGGCACCCATGTATGCTAATGGGTACATGTTTTGTTTTGAAACCAGACATATTTTGGAACCCTATCAAGGTCGTATCCTAAAGTATGCCAGGTATATCGATGACATCTTTATGTTGATCACGGGGTCCATATCTGAAGCAAAAGAGATGGTTCGATCTATCAATTCATGTAACAACAACATCAAATTGACGGCAGTGATGGATGAAATATCTGTTGATTTCTTGGACATCAGAGTACTGCGTGAGGGGACGAGCTTGGCTTACACCTTATATTCCAAGCCGACGGACCGTAATACAATACTCCAGGCCAGTAGTTTTCATCCTGGTCCATTGAAAAATTCACTACCCTACTCGCAATTTTTGCGAGTCTTGAGGAACAACTCAGATCCGAAAAGAGCCCAAGAACAATTGGGCATGATATGGGAGAAATTCCGACAACGAGGTTATATGAGCAAGATACTACAAAAAGCTCTTGATCGAGGGTTGGCTACAGTTGGTACTCCTGTTCTGAAAACTCAGAACAATAGATTGATTTTCCCTACTATATTTACTACATCATCCCTCAAATTTAAACAAATTATTGAGGACAACTGGAGAGTATTAAGAAATGACGTGACATTACCTCCAATATTTCAGAATCCTCCTATGTTCTGTTACAAAAGGAATAAAAACCTGAGAGATTTGTTAGTTAATACCGATCCATTTCACTGCTATTCAAAGGATAGTACTCCACAGAATTTGGGGTGTTATCGCTGTCTAGGATGTGTTACCTGTGGACACATTATCCCTGGAAAGACATTTACACATCCTCATACAGGTACAAGTTTTCGAATACAACACCGGCTAACCTGCACTAGTGACTTTGTGATTTACAAGCTTATGTGCCCTTGTGGCTTAACTTATATTGGAAAAACTGACCTACCATTGAGGGAACGAATCCGGAACCACAGGTCTAGTATAAGAACAGCATATAGGGATCACAAGTCAGAGCTACCAGTAGCGAAGCACTTTCTTGAACTAGGACATACTTTGCCATCTATGAAATTAATGGCTATCGATCATGTCCCTTTGCCTAGAAGGTGTGGCGATCATAAGAAGATGCTCCTACAACATGAATTGTTTTGGATAAGAACATTACAAACGGTCCATCCCGATGGATTAAATGAAAAATATTCATTATCTGTGTTCTTGTGATTTTGGCTATATATAACCTGATGTATACTGAAATTGGAGATGGGGGCTCACCCGTGGGGTTAAGCCACCTCCATGTATATTCAGTTTTGAGGATGGTTATTTTCCCTTTCTTTTCGGATTTTGAAGTTTTTACCGGTCCACATAGGACTACAACATGGGTGCCCACCTTTTTGGGTGGAGTCACCACATGTGTTCCTCACTGTGGGATCCGGTTCTATTCATGATTGTCTCTTGAGGTGATAGGATCCCATTATTAGTATTTTACCTAAAATATGTTGGATTCCAGCTGGTGACAGCAATATCTTTGTGCTTATGAGGTGATATACTTTGGAGACCGGATGATATGAAGTTGGGTAATGATGCCCACCCGGTGGGATAGGCATATTCCCTTGATGCCTCATAGATGATGGCAATAAGTTTAATCATCCTTGTCTGGTTTCATATATCTTTTCTTGATATTTGCTTGTCTTTTTCCTCCATGATAGGTTGCTTTATGATACAGATAGGGGGTGGTATAATTTAGGGATATCAGTTGTGCTTATATGTATGCTCTTGTATTATATCTAAGAGGATATTTTCTCACTTTTCTACTCAATTTTTAACCTTCATAATAATTCCCTCACTTACTTGAATTCATGTGTATTGCCCTTTAAATGGTATAACTATCATAAAATTTTTTCTATATTAATGCATTAATAATTCTTTTTCAAGTATCTAGTTCCCTATTTAACAGGGATTAATATGGTATTTGGGTTTACTAATATGTATTCATGCACACTATTGTATTTAAACTGATTTATAAGCCTTTTGTGTTTTTGTTTTTAGTGGTTGCTATGGAGCTTCTCTCCATAGCAAAAACCTCCCCATGATGCTGCCGGACGGGTGGTCACGTGATGCGGTAATGACGCCGGCGCTACGTGATGACGTCATTTTGACGCACGCATTGACGTCGGCGGAACCCGTGGGAGACCCGGTCTGAGCTGACAGGGAGATGCAATTACTTCGGTGGTGGGTAAGTTGATTGCTAATATGTATGTTGGTATATATGTATGTTTTTACAGTGTATGTGTTAGTCCTGATGAAAGTCTGTGGTTAACAGACTGAAACGTCGATTTTTTTTGGAAGCTGATTAAAAGTTAAGTTTTATTCTTTGATTTAGTAAGTCCTGGGAGTGCTATCTTGTTTTCTTTTTCTATATAAATATATATATATATATATATATATATATATATATATATAAACGCAGGAATGTATCAGAAATTATAGTAATAATAATGTATATGAATATTTTAAAGTTATATATTTGTAAACAGTTTAAAATACTATAGTTTAGCTACATATAGTATAATGAATATAAATACACATAATAAACTCATGAAAAGAAATATGTGCGTTAAACTTTGTTTTTCCTTTTGTGATTCAGTTTGCAGGATCATACCTTGCTCTTAGACTCGTGCTTTAGCTTTCAATATAGTGATATAACTTTTGGCTCTTTCAGACTCAAGCTGTTTCCTCTAATGGCTGAAGAAATGGAACATTACACCATTTTACGTGTGTGGGTCACATTAATCACAACATATTCTTATAATGCCTAAGAAGTAACTGTCAAACTGGACATACTGAATCTATTTAAACTAGAGCGTGCCATTTTTTATTTTCAGTGATCTTTAATTCACATAAAAGGGTCAAGAAAATGTGATTAAGTGACAGGTTTAAACTGTACTATAATATTAAATAGCTTGATTAAGTGACAACTATAAAATGTAATACAATATTAAGTATCTGGCTATGTCCCAAAAGAACTTTAAAGTATTTTCTATAGTTCTGGGTTTCTATTATATATTAAAAGTTACTCAAACAACATATATAATAATTTTGTATATTCATCATTTAATTAATTTAATTAAGAAACTGAGTATTTATTATTTGCTGCCAATCTCTCTGCTACATGTTATAATTGGGTGTTTCAAAGCCCCTGGACTGCTAGAAAGTGTAATTTAAAAATTCTAATTTAATGTTTTATTACATGTTAATTCACGTTTGACTAAAAAGTTCCCTCTCAACAAATACATTGGCTGAAGAATGAAAAAGTTACATAGTTATATAGTAATATAAGTTGCAAAAAAATAATTCCACCAAATTCAATCTTTTACATATCTTAGTATGCTGTTGTTCCAAAAGAAGGTGCGATACCTAATTTAAACTGATTGCCCATTGTGTCACAAAAAAAGGGAAAATTCCTCTATTATGACAACCTGATTTTTCCTTGGACCAACACGCTTTTCCAGCGCAAATTATTATATCCTTCAATATCTGGTTTTTTTTGTGGGTTTTTTTAAAGATCCAGAGAATTTGATAAAACATCCTTTTTGGGCAGAGAATAACACAGCTTTATTATTTTTACTGTAAACAACTTTTTACTCTGCTTCAGAGAACTTTTTCTTTCAAGTGCAGTTTTTCTATCTTTTTTTAATAAGTCAAACCTTCCATTCACCTTGTCCCCTTATTAATTTTGTAGCCCAAATCAGCACATGTTCTAGTTCTATAATATCTTTCTTTAAATCTGGCATACAAAAGTGCCCTGCATAATCAAAGCATGGTCTTACATGGTGTATATAAAAAAAATTATGTATTTCTATCATTTTCATCTAGCCTTACATCAACTTTTTTTTCACATTTTTCAAATCATCTAGTGTGATTCTTGAAAAAAACGTGAGTTCTGGAAGGCAAAAAATACAGCAGTTTGACTATTTTTAAGCTTAGCTTCCTAACAACCTGTGGGTGAATACCATATGTCCCTGGGACTGCTTATATTAACTTTATTTAATTGTTTTAGTATGTTATCTTCTATGAACAAATCACTAGTGTTGCTGTAGGCTTTAGGGATTTGCAAATCTACACCCACAGGTTCTTATTTGCTATATACTGAAGAAAAATAGCATTTATAGTTTCTTCAATGTCCTGATCCTACTTATTAACGCACCAGTGTCAGATTTTAATGACCAACATTTTAATTCTTAATCTTTTTAGCATTAATCAACCTAAAACCTTTTGGGGTTGTTCTTGCTCTCTTTGGCCATCAGCTTTTCATTTTCAGGCATGCTGGTTTTACACTTACCATTATTGCAATATGTGATTTCATCATACCATATTATAAGTAAAAAAAATTTTGTAATTTTTATACATGATTATTTTTATAAATAAACTTCATATTCCCAAAGTTGTAGATAGGTGAATGGTTGGATAAGCAGATGGAAGTGCAGACACTAGATAGATTAGATTAGATTAGATAGAGAGACAGACAGAGAGATAGATAATTTCTTTAAAAGATTACCCAAAAATCTTGATGATCTAGGTTCAATAAAATAGGCTTATTTCCATAGAAAATTACACTAATGTGTGTCTCAATCAGCTTGGGTACAAATGTTAAAAAATAATTATTCAATTATACTAAAAATAATCAAAGTGACATCATAACAGAGGGGAGCACTAAGTAGCTCTTATGTGTTTCATATCTTGGTGACACAACCTCAGATCACCTGCAGTTGTCTCCTGATAAGTAGTGGAGCCATTTATTTATTATTTATTTATTACTGGTATTTATAAAGCGCCAATAGATTCCACAGCATTGTACAATTAGTGGAGAACATACAATAAAAACAGACAAATACAAAAGTTAGAGAGGACCCTGTCCGTAAGCTGAAATGTTGCCATTTAAGCTCCTTTATACAAAGTGCATAGGTAGATAGCCAGTGAGCTTACAATCTAAAGGATAGCATGGGGATTTGAGACAAGAGGTGGCAGGGGAAATTTGGATGTGATGGCTTAATAAGTAAACAGAGAGTTGCAGCTATTAGTAGAATATAGAGGGAATGAAGAGGTAAGTGAGTGAGAATTTGAAACAGCTGGAGGAGCATGCTATAAATTTAGGGGGAACCTGGGTAAATGGAAGGAGGGGCGGCTGGGTGGGTTGAGCCGAGTAGAATTGTAGAGGCTTTCGGTAAAGATGGTATAGGAAATGGGCTTAGATTTTCAAAGTAAAACTTTTTCCCAGGTCTCTGGCAAGGAAGGATGATGGCTACTCACTCAAAATTAGATCTTGGCCCCAAGCAAGGATAAGATTAAACCGTACCTATTAATTTACTATTTTGATAAAAAAAGGCTCAAAGCAGTGATTAAAACCACACATTATAAACCTCTAATAAAAATAAAATAAAAGAAAGTAAAAATCTTAAAGTTTCTGTTATATCTACTCTGTGAAAAACCTTTATTACTAACTATAACGTACTAACATTATTAAATGTAATTTTTGATCATGTTGGGTCATAGAATTTCTAGTATACTTTCCAAGTGTCTGTTTTTCTAGCAGCACAGTCCTTAGGATTTATGCCTTGCCTCCCTGCTTTTTGGGAACACCAGAAAAGCCACAAAAATGCTACTAAACATGCTTATGACCCTATGGTAGAATTAGCAGTGCCCAATCACCATGGATGCAGACCAGTGTAGGCTGATTTGGTTATGGAAACAGTTATATCTTTTTCAAAAATCAAAATTGGAAGCTGGGCAGGGTCAAATCCGCATCTCACGTTCCTTCAAAAGTAAATAAAATGATTATCACTAAAGTAGGTAATGCAATTATTTATTTCTTGTCTGCCATTGTATTTGAGTCAAGGTGAATGTACTGTTTTCCACCTTAGGAAAAAGATGCAATATTAGTGAATTATATTAAATTTTACTTTTTTAAATCTCTATATTGAAAACTTTGAGGCGTTTTCAGATATGATTACTAATATATATCTAGTTTTATTCTCTTAAAATATTCAGTCAATCTATATTCAATAAGCTGAATAATTTATTGTTTATCTCATTGTTTAGCTAGACTATTTTTTTTTTACTATATTTCTTCAATAGGACCTCTACCCAGTTGTAATATTTTCTTACAGCATTCAATATGAACTTATACCAAGCACCAATATTTGGTAGATATTTATATTAAAATATTTGTTAGAGTACCCACATATACTGAATAGTCATAAATAATTTGATCTGGTTAAAAGATATGAATACATTTTCCAACACACCAATTAATGTGTCATGCTAATATTAACACAATATTAACACAATCTAATACAAAATGTTCTCTAGACAGAAAGTCAGTCAACTAGAACTCTTTTTAGAATCGCAGATGTGAATCCGTCTGCTATTTCTTTTCCAGTCTGTGTATCCATTTCTCTTCCACAAATTTGCATTCACAAACATCTTTAAGCACCAGTGAGATTCGCTGAGCACTTTAAATGTTCATAATTTAAAACAAGTCAAATGTGTTCTAGTAAAAACAAGATCAGACATAATTAATATAGCACAGTCGATATAGCTCATCACTTTTTTTTTCTTTTTTTGTTTTTACCTGGAAACATATTATCTGGCATCTTAAATTACTTTAAGATTAATTTAGATATGTACTCCTAATTTATTTCTGCTAGGATATTCTCACTCATCTCTAAAACATAAATCTGAGAAGCTAGCTGGAAATAGACAGGATTTCAGCATTTCCTTTATTCCGAACTCATATCTCACCCTAATTGCTATGGTCTTAACGAGAGATTTATTGTTTGTAGACAAAAGTTGAGCTTTTGGTCAGGAGGTCCCTAGAGATAATTTGCTAAGATTTGTACAGCTCATTTCTTTTTCTTTTTTTTATGTCTATGGCTAGGGCAAATCCCATAAAATACTAAATCAGTGTGTACTATGCGATTCCCTAAAGAATTTCATCTAAGCATAATGTTCATTTGCTTTTAAAGTGCAAATCACAAAGACCGAAACAGTTAATAGATATAGTGTCGATTGTCCACAAATAAAACAAACCTGATATTTTGAACGATGTATCAAATGCAGCAACATTCCTGAAGCTGATACTTTCTGATGTTTGTGTTTTGTGCTCGGGGTGTAGGATGGTTGTGTCTGGATGTTTTACACATG